GTAAATGACAAAATCAGAGATCCAAGACGAACAAATGTCTCCTGAGAATTATTTCTGAAGTTGCAAGCAGCAGGGATCAACTTTGAAAAACTGTCAGGCTGAACAGTTTTCAAAAACCCTAATTTGAATCCGTTTCAGTCTTTTTCAGTTTTGCCCATCGGTAGCATCTGTTGTTTCCGTTATGTTATTTTAACCTTCCTTTAAAGTTTTAAGCGGTTATTTTTGTGTTTCTCTTAGTTTAACGGCATTTTGTAACTTCCTCATTTGGCTGAATTTCGTGACACAGCTCCTTTAATAAAAAATATAAAGGAAATACTAACACAAAGACACCAATAAAATGCAAAACATTTATCAGTCATCCCAGGAGCCCTGGTCATCCCGATTTAATGATAAATGAAAATGCTGTCAGGAAATATTAAAATAGATTTTTTGCCAGAGTTCAGCTGTACGTAGGGGTGTATATGCGTACATGGACGCTACGCCCCTAATAGTGTGTTGGTCAAGGGAACTGCTGAACAAAGACTAGGCACTAGGGTGGATAAGTACTCACGAGCGAATTTTTACAAATAAAATGGTTGCCCTTGAGAACAAAAGCCTGTTATTCTCGGAATATTTTCATAGTTTATTTGGAACCTGTGTAATAAAGTAGGTCCTTGAAATTTAAAAATGGGGTTCTTGAAAGTCCTTGAGTTTTACTTTGAAAGAACTATACAACCCCTTGCTATCTGAGTGTATTTTTAAGTGATTGTTGGATTCAGGTGCCATTCACTATTTTAGAAAGGAGAAAGGCACAAGCGAGCCCAGATGCGTCCTGCTAATATTGTATCTGGAATCATTACTGGGGACAGGCCAGTCAGTAGACTTGCCTACAAGTTGAGCTCAAATTTTTTCACGAGCACGAGCGGTAGATTTTTATGTATTTTGCGGCAAAAGCGAGCAAGAGAGCGAGAGCTCTTGGTGCTGGGGCCAACTACCGGAACCGGAAATGAGAAGCGAAGGACTTTGAGAAAGTCTGTCCCCAGTAACAGTCCCAGAAGTGTTTCGCAAAGTTGGCTTGGGCCAATTTCTTTCCTGTTTCTAAAGTGATGAATGGAGGCTAGGCGCCAAAGCTCATTCCCATGTGACAGAAAGAAAAGTGACCCTGCAAAACGTGTTCAGCCAGTTTTGCCTGCTAACATATTCCAAGAAATGGCAAAGAAACAAATTGGAGACTGTAATTTCAGGAGTCTACTGCACTTAACCAATAATTATTATACAAGGAGATTTTAAAAACACTATTTGAAGTGACTTAATCCCTTTCCTTGCCAATTACTCGTCAACAAAACAAACTTGGTTCTTCGGCACCCCACCATACAAAAATTCCTGGAGTAACCTCGTCCCCCAAATTTCCATGGCAAGAAGAGTCAACCACAATGAGTTTTCTATCTCTTCTTGTACCGAACTAAAAGAAAATAACCATTGCATTGGCCATTTTTACATCTCTCACAATACACCTCGTTTAATTTGCCCCCCCATCGCTTCAATATTTACTCACTTTTTCGCCCATGATAGACAATTTAGAAGTTTTCAATCGACACGAAATTCGGGGAGTTAATAGTACACTGATTAATTATTGTACTAAAAATGTTTTTAAAAAATCTATCGGCGAATTTTGTTCTAATCGCTGTTTCCTTGAAAGTAGCATAGAAATTACTAAATGAGCTTAGCATTGCGTTTAACCCTGATTTATATGTTTTCATGTGTTTCGAAATCGCGCAAGTATACTCGCGTTCAGCGACTTCCAGGGTGTATAAGGGTCATTTCCAAACGAATGACAAATAATGCGTTTTCGGAAACACCCAAAAAGCAGCAAATTTGTCTACATTACATTATTACGTCTCAGACAACAAGGCTTTGAAACCAACAACGCTTTGAATCTTTCATTACGTGTCAGACAACAAAGCTTTGAAACCAATCGACTTCAGAACTCATTTAACAAAGTCGTCAATCGCCACGGTCTTATCGTCGAAAAGTATGGTACAGCCCTGCGGGAGATGAGATTAGCAATCCAGGCTTAATATAAATTGCACCATCGAATCCTTACATTGCTTCTTTATTACTTGAATTTTTATTTCAGTTGTATCTTAGTACGTGTGCGCGCGCAATTTAATTTTGGGCGCGTGCATTATTTATTTATTTAAGTTGCGTGTACATTTAGTTCGTTTAATAACGTCTTAGTTTTGCTTTGCGTTATTTTCCTCACTTATATGTATTGTCCGCGACTGTGCTCAGACGGTGGGTGGCTCCTCCTAAAATGTTCTGCAGTTGGTATAGGATTTAATGGAGCCGAAACCAATTGTGGAATTGCACCCATTTTAGGCATCCTACTGATGAACAGTTTGGGACACGTAGATATATTTTTTTTTAGGCATCCTAGGTTTGTATGGGAAAAAACAGTTAGATGAAATAAATGACGTAAAAGATAAATTTTTAAGTGTAAATAACTGTCAGGTCAGATGCTGTAAAAGTACTCAAATCGCGCTGAAACTTCGTAAAAGCAAAGACAACGACTCTAGGTAACAATATTTACACTTTATTGAGAACTTTTATCGCTTTTACTTCATTTATTTCATCTAAGTTTCAAACTCTATTTTTCCCATACAAACTCTCATATTACGCTTGGGCCACCTGTGCTATAATTTGCAGTCTGTCTACTTTGAATTACATGTAAGTCCAGTCTTCAGTACATGCATAATTTATACCCTTTTAATAGAAATTCCAAGATATTCCGAAATTTCTCTTTTAGATTATTTTTGTGAGACTTCGCGCAGCAGAAGATATTTATCCAAATGGTAAAGCATGTCAAAAGAAAATGCCGAAGAGGACTAAATTCGATTAGAGCTAAAACCATTGTGACGTCATTGCCACCTAACATTTATTCCGATCGCCCAAAATATAATGCCATAATAAAGTTTAGTCTAAATGTAATCCATGTGTCATAATCGTTTTACATTACAGATCGATTTGTGTAAGTATAAAAGATTCAAAGATGGAGGGTGTGCCTATAAAAATACTGGGTCGAGCCACCTTAAACAAATAGCTTTGCACGGATAGCCGAGAGTCTGATTACAAGTTCAAGTTTGGCTTCTCCTAAATGATAAGTATCCGTAAATTAGGTAAATTCCAATTACGGAAAAAAGATGTCGAAATGTCCTGTAAAACCTTATTGATATTGATTAATATTTACAGAGTTTGGACGCGCTGCTAAGAAACCGCCTGCCCGAATGCAATTTTTGGACGCTTCTACATTCATACCTAGCACCATGTCGATGTTACCCCGTCTGCAAGACAAGGGTAAGGCTGGAACGAGACTGGTTTAAACACAGGTAGCGGCAAGCTCGAAATAGCATCGGCATCAGTTGCGTAACATTCGAAACAAGAATTTGAACGAAAAAAAAACCTATCGTTTCTGTAACCAAGGAAAATTTAAACAGTTTCAATGAAAAAACAGCTTACCTTACTTAGAATACTTAGAATGTGTGTTTAAAGGGACCGGTCATTATTTATCGCCTGGGGGGGGTCGGAGTATTTTTGTTGTCACATCGGAGCATTTACCTGATCCCCCCGTAGAGTATCTAGTTTTTTAAAGATCCCCCCTTATTGGTAGTGGAAAGTTTCATGATCCCCCCCCCCCCTTTCTCCCAGCCACCGCCAAATAACTTTTTGAATATGCAAGTGATATCTTTAATAGTGGTACTTACGTCTCATGGACCTTGAACAACAACGGTAGATATTTGCTCGTCAGATACGAACTGAATTGTCGCGGAAGTGCCAATCTCAGGCTGTTCATCCAAATCCACGAAAACATAGTCATCGTCGCTCTCTGCCTCTTCACTTTCGGATTCTTCATCCTCGGATTCCACGTCATCTTCATCACTCGACAGTTCTTCTGTTATCACAGTCTCTTTATTCTGTCGGTAATAGTGACATCGAATGGCCTTAACTTTGTCAAGTTTCCGACCCAAAGTCGTCAAACCATGCTTGTTGAGATACAGGTCTAGTTCTCTTACCCGCAACTTTTCAACTTTGCCACCCTCGATGAGGTTATCCCATTGAAAGTCCTTGTACGTTCGTTCCGCCTCTTGCCTTCGCTCCTCAGCTGCTCTTGTTCTCATGTCCTTTCGGATCTCAATATCCTTCAAATGATTAACATATGCAATGACGTGCTTCTCTTCCACATTATATTTTGAGCAGAAGCTCTTCATGGTATCCTGATCGTTTCTGATACTGTCAGAATGTTCCTCGTACAGATATTTAATACATTTTCTTGGAAGGTAATCATCTGGTGTCCTGCCCGTCGATTCCGTCTGATAGATATCCATGAAATGTCCAGGATTGTTTGAGTCTGGTACAGGTTGCGGAATTCTTTCCGTTTCTGGACCGACCCATCTATTGTTAGAACACCAGGAACAGAGATTGGAACTTTCTTCTCTTGACTCTTTACAGGCATCACGACAGAATTCCATAAAAAGTTCTCCACGAACATAGTGGTCTTCCATAAACGATTCGATCTTTCGGAAGTATGCTGCACCGGGCGCTTGCTCTTTGTTTCGTTCTGATGCACCCCGATAGTTGTCGAGGTAAACAGAATTGAAAAAGAATGATTCATCAGAGGACTCGCTAGCCTCCCACGCAGGCATTTTTAGGGGAGTTCGTATTTCTTCCCTCCCCAAGAAGAAATACGAGCTCCCCTAAAAACGCCTGCGTGGGAGGCTAAGGACTCGCTTACTTTGCTCTTGATGTAATCTTTAAGGACAGGGGCATCATTAATTCTCTCGGCTACCTGACTACAGACATACCAGGCATTTTTCTCCATCCGTTTCTTTTCGTACTCTTCGTATGACTGGAGAGACAGTTGTTTGATTTCCTCTTCTGAAAGATCCTCTAACCTCCTATATTTTTCCCACTCTAGAGTTGCGCCATCCACAAGAGCATCAGAAATTGCCGAGTTTGTCCTTTCGGCTTCACCTTGCCCGCTGTCGCCCCTCCAACGATGACATCGCACTCTATAATCGGAATTGTGAACCCTTGCTAACTCGGCGTCTCGAAATCTAACTTCGTAGTTGGAAACTCCTACGCTCGGACCAGCATCTGTAAGGTCAGCCCATCGTGGCTTTACAGGTGGAAGGCAGAGATCTCCGAGAACTTCTAGACCATGTTTACATGAACTGGTTACCCTTAAAATCCTGTCCTTTCTCGCATCTTTTTCCATTGAATCGACTTCCTCTTTAAACAGATCATCAATGGCATCTAAAATGCGTTTCGTGACTGGTATTATCTGACTAGCAAACAGAGCCCTATTGTGCTCTGACATTTCTGTGTCTTCGCAAAACTGCAACAAATTGTCAATCCTTAATTTCAAGTGCTCTGCTCTCTCTTTTTCGTAAGTGAAGAATTTACAGTTACTTCCTGTTTCTCCGGATATTTTGTCTAGGTCATCTGACTCTGTCATATCATAATAAAGAAAGAGGTCATCGTGTAGTCGCGCGCAGCATTTACGAAATCCCAGTGAGTACTGTGGACTGCCAGGTGTCGGTTAGTCAACCTCAAAAGCTGATGGATCCTCATGTCGCAAACGAACTGTTTCGCTGGCCCATACAGTGCTTGACGATCCCACTATTGCTTTGGGCCGGACAAATACATAGTGGCGATCGTCCTCAGTTATCAGCTTCTCTTCAGTTTCATTCATTACACTTGACTTCGTAAAAACACGGTGAGAACCCGGGGTCACATATACCATTTTCTCAGGCCAGTCGTACTTTGGCAACTTCCTTGCTTTAGTGTGATCTGATAATGTTAAGATCCTAAGATTTATGGCTTTGTCAAAACCTTCAGATGTACCTGGTCTAAGGTAAGCCTTGTCATCGGTGCTTCTCATGAAACAAAACTTTCTCGCGCTGGAATTTCTGGCACCCCAGAATCGTCTTTTTATGTTTTTTACGTGTGCTCGTTGGTAGTGAGTGTTTTCGTTTGTGTTTTCTTCGCCTTTTGGTGGCTTTTTCCAACAGAATAGGCCTTTGCCATAATGGCGCTTCGCTTGGAGACTTCTTTTGTTTCTCGGTCTCGCCCTGTTGTATACTGTTGTAGCGGATTGAATTAATTTCTTCCCACGTTGAGCTAGTCGGTAGTTGGCAATTGAAAGAAGGTTTTTCTTCTTCACCCTCTGGCCGGTATAGAGGACCGTATCATGCCGTCTACCATGATAGGATGATTTATCCTCAATTGCCTTTGCAATGAAGTCTTCATCTTCCTCATCTAGCTTTGGCTTCGGACCTTGGTTTGACAACTTTCGCCTCTTCAGTCGATTAGATTCGATAAGGCTTGAAGCTTGGCGCTTGAGCATTTGGCGTTTTCTCTGATAATTGCTTTCGGTGGGCTGGCTGTGAAGAAGCCCCTCCGTGTCTTCAACTTTTTCCTTGAGTTTTTGTACTTCGCTTTGGATTTCTTCTAACGTTTTGGATGACCAAATATTTGTTTTCTTTTGAATGAGGTTTTCCTTCTCTTTTATCTCCTTTTCCAGCTTTTCCTTCTTGGAATTTAAGCGCAACCTAACGAGGTCGGCTGCTGCCTCATTAGCATTTTTTACCTCTTCAACAACGAATTTAACTCTCTCCGTCATAGACGGAAGATTGTCAGGATCGAAGCCTAGGGCTGTCATTTCTTCTCTAGAGAATATGGATCGCAATATAACTCTAAGACAAATTTTATCCCATTCTGAGTCCATAGTAGTAACGATACCTTGCAGGGTTTCCTTATCGAGAACAAGAGCACTATGTCCACTTTTAGTACTACAAGCACTAAAAATATCCAAAAGGAATGACTCTAAATCGACTTCGTCAGGACGGAGCGCGACATACTCAAAACCCTCAGTTATACGAATGATATTGATCCTGAGACCATGTTTTTCATGAAGTAAAGCTTCGCGAAAGGCAACTCTCTGATATTTTGACGGTGCCCCAGAGTGATGAGGTTGAAACGCAAGAAAGTACTCTAATGCTTCTTGAAAGGGGATTGAAGACCTAATTCTTGTCTTAGCATTGGCATCTTGCACCGGAAGAAATAGTTGATCGAAGACATAGAGCAGACCTTGAAACTTGTGCTTCTTTTCCTCTGAAATTGCTCTCGATAATTCTTCTATAACACCCCTATTTTGCTCTAGGGTGCAGCTTTGTTGCGATGTTACAATCTCCATTCTCTTTTTTCCCTGAAGTAGTTAAAAGGTGACTTCGTCTTAGATCGAGAAACTCACAGTTTTACTAGATCTATGGCCTTGAGGAATGTATCTTAACGATTCACCCAGATACAATTTTCTTTCATATTTCTTTGGAAAATATCAGGAAAGTATAGGTGTGCAACAACTGCAGACTAGACTGCGCGTGACTCGATCGACACCTAATAGCGAGCGGCGAAACCTTGAGCCACGATAAGCGTCGGTGCGGTCTCGCTAAATTCTCCCCTCTTTTGTACCCTAATTTGCACATTTTCTTTTTACTTTTCCTGCAATTTATCCTGAAACGAAATCCCGGTATTGACCGGTGTATTCAGTTTGCGACGCAGGCTACTGGATAGTGATTTATCCGGTGGATAGCGTTATCCACCCTTTGAACAACTGGGCCCAGGTTATAGGGTGCTGGCGGTAAGTTCTCCATAATTAATTTGGATTCTTTTAGCATTGTATTGTTTTATCAGGGTAGAGATCCACCGGTTCGTTGTCGCTTAAAAGAACGCTCAAATTAAAGTAGCGAGATTCGTTTGAGTTTGGATTTTGGCAACTGTTTTCTCTACAAGTTCCGTTTCTTTATAACGCCGCGTTAATTTTCTTCATCAGTTTGAAATTAAAAAACACACCTTTCGCATTATTTATTTTATGAGAAAGTATTTTTCCTTCACTTTGCGATAATTTAAATCGCGTCAATTTCTAGTAAGTCCGCTGGTTTATAGTCTGCATTTGACGCACGCTCGAGGGAGCCCCCACATTTTTTTTTCTTCCGCTCGCTTCGCTTGCGTCACGTTCTACATTTCCGTTTTAATTTAATTGTATTAATTGTAAGCGTAGTTAAATATTTAACACTGTTATTTACCTCTGATCTGCAAATTATAGGGTTGTCTTTCAGATGCCGGGAATAACCCTATCTAAATTATAGTGAACACAAATACCAGGATTTGCAGTCTTTAAATACAAAGAATTAATGTCCGCGTCGTTTTGATGTTTCAATGTTAATGATTACTTGTACTATTGCATGCATATTTTATTGTTTTATTTCTCACCAGTTTGAGCGTAAAATAATGGACCAGTATCACGAAGAAATTGCCGCGTTTTCCTTCATGATGATTTTAGTAACATCGAAACGTCAGACAACATTTACTAGCTTTTATATTTTTACGAAGACTGCAAAGCCATCATTTATTTCCTGGTCATTGTCGATATCTGATACAAGCCGCTCAGTTCTCGCCCTTCGCTCGCTTCGCTTTTCATTATGGCATCGTTTATGGGTACTTCCATCACTTAAATCCAAATGCTTTCCAAGCTGATCACCATTATCGTCCAGATTGCTAAGCTTTTCTGTCATATCTTCCATTCTTGCTCAATTACAATGTCTGAAGTCCACCTGTCGGGAAATCTTCTCAGCGCGCTTATTAAATAATGCTTTGTTGTTGTGACGTACTATTAACTAACATCGTTGTGACATATTAACTTTAACTTTATTTTTTACATATTAACATATAAAACCTACCTTTAGCCGAAACGTGGGCACAGAACTCGTTTAATTGCGCTGATTTGCTTTCATTATTTTTTCAATGGATAAAGAAATTGACTATCTTTTAACAAAAGCTGACTTGAGCAATTACACAGACAATTTTAAACAAATTGGTGTTGCAAAGGTCGAGCATTTCCTGGACGTTGATGACGAAACTCTTGAGCGAGACATTGGACTAACGAAGATACAAACTCGCCGTCTGAGGCGTTTCTTCGCTCAGATACAAGGCGAATCAAAGCAAAGAGGAACAAGCAGTGAAGGTATTGAGTTATCGTTTCTTAGATGATTATTTTGAAGGCCTCTATAAAATAATTGGCTTGTGCTTCAAACCAGCCATGAACAAAAAACGTAAGGCAACATGGTGCATAATTTGTAACGCAATCCTTAACAAACATTTATAATGTGATCGGTAGGTGTTACGTCCGCCAGTGCTCCCAAGAAGCGCAAGCAGGCGATTTTGTCATTTGGACGCTCCGGGCAGCTACAAGTCCTGAAGAACGACTCAGCACCAGAAAAGAAGCCGTGGGAAAAATATCTCCTTCCCAACCCACACACAGAAAGGCTGAAATTCTACAAGAGTGTTGTACCGCAGATTTATTAATCTTCATTCGTGAGTAAACAAGTCGGTTTCAAACAGTATCTCCTCGAGCAACAGCAAATGCGTTGGCAGTTAAACACAAAGATAAAAGCCCTTTCCGATAAAGAAAACAACTTGCTTAGAAACGAGAATTGGGGAGTGTGCCAAAACATCACGAAGTTCATGTCAGGCGTGGATGGATGTAAGGGCAGTGGTGATGTCGCGAAGTGTGAGTCCTCCTTGACCACTGTCAATGAGGCCTTTAATTCAGCATCCGATTTGCTCTCATTTATCGACAACAGACGAAAGAACCTTTATACAGAAGAGCATACCTTAAGGCCGTTTGCAAGTGATGAGCTCAAATATTTCCAGGAAGCTCAAGAGCGAGTGAAGGCCTTACACCAAGAGCTGCAGAAAGCCTCCAATGCGCTCACGACCACCCTCATGAGCTTGAAGAGAAAGTTCCCATCTCCCATGGGGAACAACGGCCTATCCCGAAGAAAAAAAGAAAACAAGAGAAAAGTGAAAAAAATCAAGGAGAAAAGGTTACGTCAGCGAGCAGCAATTCTCCTAGAAAAACTTACCTCAAAAGAGGTAGCTAAAGAGGTTTTCGATTCACTCGAAAAGAATACTTACAAATGTGTCTCAAGTATTAATGCAGGATTCACTGCGAGATTTGTCAAGCGTCTCCACCTGGATCCTCTGCTATGGCTTTTGGAAAGAGGCGTGTTTGAAACAGAGCTGGCACGCAATTTGAAAGTGGTAGTGGCCAGAATGAATGAATGGATTCCAATGAATCTGACGTGGAGACTGTGCAAGAGCCAGTGGAGAGGGCTGCCGAAGATTCTGACACGGAAGCGGAACAAGATACAGCCTCACCAAAATAATCACTTTTTTATTTGTTGTTTTCATTCGGCCGCGTATTAAAATAATGAACGTTTATGATTTTAGATTACGATTCTCTATAAAACAAACTGAAACGTCATGAAACAATTTTGAGCAATTGTAAGTATTCCATTCTCAAAATCTTGATTACCTTTCTAATTTCAATAGATCGTGCCTGATTAACAACGTGTATGTTAGACTACGATAGTGATACTTTTTTTACAAAATGGAGGGTCTGTAAAAGGGTTTGGGTTTTGTGTCTGGGCTAGAATAAAGTTTATATAATACAAAATACAACTGAACGTGGTCTTGAATATATGGTTGGGGGTTTAGAGTCCTAGCGGCAAATCCTACCAAAGTATTTACAAATGCACTCACCCGGGGTCCCGGCGCGACCTAAAATTCCTTTTTTTTTTTCGTCTGATCCCCCATTATGCTTGTCAATCACGGCTGATCCCCTAAAGGTCTTCAAAAAACCATGTGATCCCCCCTAAATACTCCGACCCCCAGGCGATAAATAATGACCGGTCCCTTACGTCTCTCCTGTGTGGTACGTGGGGACGAGGTTGATTTCGAGCTTGGGCTACCTGTGGTTTGAAGCGGGTGATTGTCATGTGACGCTCATAGCGCCATAGAAATGACCTTGAAAGGAACGAAACAACAGCAATCATGATGGCCGTACGAGTCTTTCTCTTTGCATTCCTGTTCCCAGGAGCAGTATCTCTGGTAAATGTAGATCCAAAAATGAAATCGTTTTCGTATGCTATTAAGGAAGGCGTCCTAAATCCTAACGAAGAGCAAACACTTTACGAGCATAACACAGGCCAACCTGGTGTGATTACAGAGCAGTGGTTCACAGGCTATGCGATGGACGAAAATACCAGGATTAGAATCTATATCGACGGCGAAACAGAAGCAAGTTTAGATTTTAACCTGTATCTGGCTCATGGTATAGGATTTGGTGAGCAGAATGAGACACCAAATATTCCATGGGGCACGAAGCGTCTTGGACATGAAGCTAAAAACGGTGCAGTCTACAACACGTTTCGAATTCCTTTTGGCAAATCATTCAGAGTTACAGCGACAAGACCAAATCATGCTGTGTTCTGGTACATCATTCGTGGCGTAGAAAATTACCCTGTTGTTTTGGGCGACCTTGTGCTTCCACCAAACGCAAGATTGAAGCTCTACAAAAGGGAAGGTGTTTTCATGATGCCCTTTGAGTTCTTGAATATGGCACACGTCACTGGCTCTGCAGGAGCAGTGTTCTTGGTGACTTTGGATGCTGTCACCTCGGTATCTATCTTCCCTCAAGTTAGCTTTCTTGAAGGCTGCTACCGTGCGTTCATCGATGGTAGTAACAAGACAATGTGGCTTTCATCTGGTACTGAAGACTTTTTCCTTTCTGCGTTTTACTTTGATGCCCCAAAGTTATTTCAAGCGCCGAATTCTGGAGTGACTTACAAAGACAAAAGTAGAGTCAGCGCTTACAAGTTTTTTGAAAACGACCCTTTGCTGTTTAGCAAATCGCTGGACCTTTGGTGGCGATGTGGTGATGTTGATATCTCTAGAGGCAAGCATGGCTGCCCTAACCGTTGGCCCAATCCTAGCCCGTATGCTGACCAAAAGCAGTTTTACAACAAAGCGAAGCTATCCAAGGAAGAAAAGATTGCCGTTGAAGAAATTAGGAAAGGCTTGAAGAAGAACGAAGAGTTACCCAAGAACTGGGCAGCCATGGAGAAAGAAAGGATTGCCAAAGAAGGAAAGCCATATGTGCATGCTACTTTTCAC